GCCACTCCGACATCCACGCCGACCCCGAGGCCACGCACCAGGCGAGCCGTCAGCTTCGTCACCCGAGCAAGCAGAGCCGACACCTAACCACCGTATCCGAAGCCGCCGCTCCGACATCCACGCCGACCCCGAGGCCGCGCACCAGGCTGGCCAACGACACTGCCACCCACGTGACCAATGCCGGCACCCCTCCAAGACGACGAGATCCGGAGCCGCCGCTCCGACTTCCACGCCGGCCCCGAGGCCGCGCACCACCCGAGCCGATGACTCTCCCAAGCCAAGACCACTCCAGAACGATGCCTCCACGAAGACCGCGACACCGGAGCGCCGCCATCATTCGCTCCAAGAACTGGAGCATACCTTGTTACTGTAGGTTAGAATTTGTGCAGCAAGCCTGGTGCTTCTTTTAGCACTGACCAACAATTTTTTATTAGAGATAGTAAGTCTCAATTGATAGGGTGTGGATGGTGTTTCAAACCCCAACCTCTAATACACGCAGCGTGAGGCGAACCATCAGGCCTAGCGCCTACAATTGTTTATTATAGATGTGCATGCTGTATTATATTGTATGATAAAGATGTTATATTTTTTTATGGATTAGGGCATCTTTAAGACGGACTCGTAAACTTCTTGCAACCGTCCGGGCTTTAGAAGCCATCCAATGCCGATTAATATCGGTGCGTAGGATGATCCGGACACAATTTCTCTCATATATCAGAGACAAAAGTAACGGAGATTTGCCGGAGTCCAGACCTGTCGGTGTACTGAGATTTGGGCCCAAACTTATGCACGGGCAAAAACTGCCGCTCTGCATGGCCTTTTGGAGCTAAGTAAATGCTACAGCCTACAGGGGACCGGTGTGTGTGGAGATGGACTGCTCCTCCATCCCTACTCTTTTGAATAACAAAGCCAAAAGCCAATCAGTACTGTTCCCTCTTGTCACTGATTTTTGGGACCTTATGAAACAGTTCAAGGAGGTCACCATCAAAGCAGTTAGAAGAACCAGCAACAGAATGGCTCACGAATTGGCCGCGTTTGCCAGAATTCATGGAGATCACAAAGCCTTTGGAGATGTACCTTTAGCCCTAAGAGAAACCCTGAGGGATGACTGTAACACTTGGTCATTGGGAATTTAATTGAAGGCATGACCTTTTCTAAAAAAAATGATGGGTACGTTCATGCTTCGACCATCACAAAACTGTGTTTCCAAATACAGCAATATTTGCTTCCCTTGGAAGCACACTTTGAAACATGCGTGATAAGAGAAAATTAGATATAATCATAGAGAAATCATCGGGAGCACAGTTGGAAGCATCAGTGAGTATGGAAACCAAGAGTTTAGGAAGTAACTCTGACGCACCACCATCCAAGGGCTACAGTGGTCTGGCAGTTAAATGCCGTAATCACTCAGCCCTATCGCACGCGCTGGCTCTTTCTAATAAAAAACGTAAAAGTTAATGCGCCTTAATTAGCCGGACAGCTAAGACGGACGCGCCTTCTATGAACCTGGACGGATGGTGTGTTCGTCGTCTCGTTGACTTGTTCCATTGGTAGGGATACCTTCTGACTACCATAAATACGGTAGCACAAAGACGTACTGTCTTCATAGCGATGGCGACGCAGCAGATCGTCCTCCTCCTCTTACTCCTCGCGGCACCTCATGGCCTCGCCGTGGCCGTCAGCCCTACACCCATCATCAACACCACATGCGCTGCGCTCGCCCACAGCCCCAACTTCACATTGCACGTCGAGTACGAATTCTGCGTGCGCTCGCTTTCAGCCGACCCGGTGGCCTCTTCCGCCACGGACGCCCGCGGGCTAGCGGCGGCCGCGGCAAGCCTTACCGTTGCCAACATAACGTCCACGGAGCTCATCATTGCCGACCTCGTCAAAAATCTGGTCAGTTGTCTCTCCGACTACAAAGAGCTTAACGACATGGTGCGGCGCGGGCTCCACGACATCCGCGGCGGGCGCGCCGCCGATGCTTCCAAGAAGTTTTTAGATGCGGCAGAGTCTGACGTTCCGTCTTTGTGCGACCTCATCTTGATAGAGGGAGTCGCCAAGAGGAACCCCATAGATCAGGAGAACCAGAACGCCTACTTCTTGTCCGTCATGGCCTCCGATATTACTCAGCTGATGCTGGATTCTCATGCAGGATCACCAAAAGATCCTAGCTGAATACATGATGGCTCTTGTCTTCTTCCAGTTTTAGTGATTTACTTGGCCATGGTGGCGTTGCCGTGCATGTTTTGTTTTATGTGACTTGCTCATATATTTGTTGGTAATAGAAAAAGATAATTTTGAAAAGAAAAAAAAAAGCTAAAATGCGAAGGATCCGGATGCCGTCGGATATGAATTGCGCGCGGCCGAGCGGCTCGCGTTCCGCTTCCGCCGGACAAATTTTGTCACCACGGTCGTTTCTCCTCTTGTGCCTCTTATTTTAGGCAGTAAGAACATCTACAACCGGACCATTTAAACCCGTTTCAAATATCCGGTCAATGTCTGGTCATGATTTTTTGACCTAGACTGGCCTCTCAAACAGTCCTCAAACGACCGTGGTGGCGCCCGGGCACGCCCGCCACGTCAATCTGTC